GATCACTTCTATAGTGTGTGGCTACTTTCAGACTGTACCTGGGATGGGCCCCAAATAAATAATAAATACAAAGTAATATAGGAGCTCTACTCTGTGGGTGAAGTCTTGCTTTGACATGCTAAGAGCACGTTTTCCATGGATTTTTGATAATATGCTTTCAAAATTATTGGCAGATCCATTCTTTGCCTGAATTACAAGCTAGATAATGGAAAATGATCTATACAGTTTGATTGAATTTACAAGGGTTAGAGTAAGCCAGGTTAATTATCGCTATGTCATTCTTGCAGGCTAGCAGGAACTGAGACAAAACACAAGCCAAACTAAATGTAATTAGCATCAAAATGACTCCAGCATGGAAAATAATCCGATGGGTTCTGAAGTGCCTTATTCTTGTCAGCAAAAGAAGATAATATTTGTTTGCAAATATTTCTTTTAATTGGTTTTCTCTCATCGTCTAAGATATAATGACTGTTTTATCCTTCTATTATATTTCTAAAAGAACATTTTTTTTGTTTTTGACATAACAACCTATCTTGTCACATATAATTAATTTGACTTTTAAAACTAGATGATGCTAGCAAAAAAAAAAAATTTACAAGATGAATCCGTGGTGCCCATCTTCCTAAGAGTAATTGCTTTTCCTTTCCAACTGTATAAGTCATAAGTTCAGCATATTCTCTTTAGAGTATAAATTCTGTTGTCTAAATTCAGTGAATCTGAGTTTTATTTATGATACGTATTTGTTCAAGAAAGAGACGGGGAATCTTGCTTAAGCACTATCCATTAGACTTTGAGTAAACAGTTGTGGATACAGCAATCTCTGCACAGCTGCGCATTCTAAATCTTTGGGTTCTGCCCAAGACTCCAAGGATGTGGGCTGGAGGAGTGCAATTGCTTGTTTTGAGAACACATTGAGCCTACTTTTCCTCGTCATTTTTCATAAACAATAAAGTCTGAAAATTATAAGCATAGTGCTTACATTGTATGAGACTTTAAAAGTAATCTATAGATGACTTAAAGAGTATAAATGAATGTTTGCAGCTTACTGCAGGCACCGTTCCGTTTTAGGTAAATGGCTTGAAAGACAACACATTTTTAGTGTACACAAAGTTGCTTGGGCTAGTTGCCGCTGCACATCTAGGGGTGACTGTGTGGACCACAGAGTCTCGAGTGTAAGGAAATTCCAAAATATGAGAAATCAGGCAAAAAGAAGAAACTCTGAGACATGAGTGAGGAAACTCAAAATGCTGTATGTAGCTGCACGGAGGAACTTCTACAAGCATGGAGAATTTTATGGGGATGCAGTAGATGATACTAATGTAGACTGATGCTTTGTTTGCCTGGACAAGATGTGAGCTGTATGCTCAGGGGTGCCGAGGAGGGAGAAATAAGGCTGCTTTCTTGGGGTGTTTGCTAATTTCAGTTCCCTATCATGTCTCAGGGATTTGTGCAAATGATGGAGTCAGTGATGCAGAGTCAGGGTACCGTCACACAGGAAGGATTCCTGGAGTCTCAGGCTGGCTCCAGGAAATCTCAGCTCCCTTCTGATTAAACAAAGGCTTGCGTTCAACAGGTGCACTCCGTGTTGGCTTTGTTGGCTGAAGGTTTGTGGGTATATTGCTGTCCTCTTTAGTAGGAGAGCTACCCACATGGGTGTCCAAGTGCAGGACTGATGCCTGGTAGATCAGGGCAGTCTAGAGTCCTCCAGTGTTAAAGCTGATATGAAATCTAACACAGAGGCACTTTGCTAAGCTGACTACCCCCAGCAGGCATTTTGAACTCTGAATTATGGATATGTTAAATAGAGGGGCTGCAGATAGAAGTAAAAATGCTAACATGGACTCTAAGAGCTGAGATGGGGTTGAATGTAGAAACACAGAATTTTGTCAGTGTTAGGGTTGAGCTGAGGTACTCTAAAATATATGTGGCCAGATCATTAGATGAAATTTAAATCTGAGGGTTATGGGAGGGGTAGGGGGAATCCCAGTGCCTATAAAACTGTATCACATAATACAATGTTATTAACAATAAACAAAACAAAACAAAAGAGTAAATAAAATTTCTTTATTAGAAAAATCATTCAAGAGAATAAAGTGATCTGGCACATTTCTCCCAAATGTAAAAAAAAAAAAATTTAATTGAAAGCATTTCTCTAAAAATATGCCTAATTATGTAGTGTGTTTGCTAACATACTACATTCCTATTTAGTTTTAAAACCTTCATTCTTCACTTCATATCCTGTTACTTCCTGATTTGTAAAATGAATAAATAAAAAACCAAAGTTGAAGTCATGTTTTCCTTGCCCATGACTTGCCTCTTTTCCTGGAGTATGGACCTCTCATTTTTACAGCCGTGACACATTCCCGCATCAGTTTTACAATCAGATGACATCTTTGATCTTGAATACACAATCTCTACATGTGTGTTAAACTACCCTTCACAAACATATGTCCAGGGAATTATCTTTTTCAAAGTTTGGTAACTTTTTCACGAATTGTAAACACCAGGGAAATTGTGGTTTTGCATTGCACATGTTGCGTTCCATTAAAAATCTACCTCTAAATATTTTCATAAATGATTTTGAACCTGGGAATTTAGGCTGGCCTACCTTAGGATTCCAAATGGTGAATTATTGCTGTTGTGTTTGTAATTGTCACACTTTCTATATCTGTGTTTGTACATTGAGGAAATTGCTGCACACAAGTGAGCATGATCTAATTTTGTGACCTGAATTAATCAGTTCTTAAGTAAAATACAGCTGCCCTTCTGGAGAATACCATTTAGTTCATTGTAATTCATTTCACAGTTGCATAGGCCTTATTTCCCTTCACAATAGAAGAAGTTAATTAAATGGAAATATAATTATGCTGTCATAAATCTCTTCTTTCTCAACTCAAAATAATTTAAATTAATGCTACAATTTTATTAAGTGTGTGTTGTTAAAAAGTAAAAGGGACACTTTAAAATATAGTGAGGTTTATCTGAAATAGTGCAAATAATCACTGTATTTGAGGTATTTTTCTATTACAGCAAATTTTTATTTATTCATTTGTTTACTAATATAGAGAGAATGGATTTCAAGTACTTCATACATATAATTTTTAAAGATTTATGTATTTTTATTGGAAAGACAGATACACAGAGAGAAGGAGAGACATAGAAAAAGATATTCCATGTGTTGGTTCATTCCCCAAGTGGCCACAATGGTCATAGCTGAGCCAATCCGAAGCCAGCAACCAAGAGCTTCTTCGGGGTCTTCCACACGGGTGCCGGGTTCCAAGGCTTTGGGCTATCCTTAACTGCTTTCCCAGCCCACAAGCAGGGAGCTTGATGAGAGGTCAAACAGCCAGGATATGAACTGGTGCCCATGTGGAATCCCAGCAGGTGCAAGGCGACTTAGCCACTAGGCCACAACACTTGGCCCATACATACCATTTTATTATACTCATACTTATCTACCTCTTTCCATCTTCTTTTTTCCTTTCTTTATTTTGTCGTCTTTAATTTTAATGGGATGTTGCAAATCTTTGTATTGTGGATCCACTGATTACAGATGAATACAGTCATGAGTTTATGGGAGCAATCATATAACTTACTCTATTAGTCAACTTTGTCTAGCAAGAAAGTTAACCCACAGAAACAAAATTAGTAAAATATGTAAGATGATAATATTTAACGCTTACATAGAAAATTCAGAATAACAGGGACTCTTCAGTGGCTTGGGTCACCATGCCCTGTGCAGTGGGTGCCAGTGTTAGTCTCTGTTCATAGATGAGAAACCTTGGCATAGAGTGAGTTGAACTGTTCAATATCACTTGAGAGTGTCTGTGCTGGTTGGGTTCTCCAGAGAGCTGGGACATGTGGAATGTGTTTGTAGAAACATGCACAGGGATTTATTACAGATTCATGCCAACATGGCTGCTGACAGGAAAGTGGATGGTGATGGTGGCCTAAAGCTGAGAGTCCTGGAGGGGCAGAGAGGGTCAGTGTTGTTAAGCTGTTGGCCAAAGGAGTGGGCCTGGACTTGTCGTGTCCAACACAGCAGCTGAGAAGTCTCTTAACTTCTTGGAGAAAAACAAAGTAATCCTCCTTCTATATTTGTTCTCACCATGCCCTAAGGCCCAAACGGTGCCACCTCCTGCCTAGAAGGCATGTCTTGGCTAGTCTGCTCAGATTCTTAGCTAATGATTTCTGAAATCATTCCCACACACGCACCACAACTAGTCCTTTGCCACATTTCCAAGTGTCTCTTAATGCAGCGAAGAAGAGACCTAAAATGAACCCTCACAATGCACAAGGAATGACTCACGGCTCCTGCGTTAAAAACTGGGAAGTGTGGCTCCCTGAAACTGTCCAGATAACCTCGGTCTGCAGTTTCACAACAGATCCAAGAGTGGAAAACTCTTGGTGAAATGGTCCCTGGGGAAGCTGTTGTGAGCAACGTGAATTAGCCCAGGGCTTTGAAGAAGGACGACACAAGCTGTGTGTAGTGGACAGGAGATGGCAGATAACTCTAAAACATTAATACCACAATCATCAAGTAGAGAAGCATAAGGTGTACTCCAGGGATCCTAAGCTTGCTAGGTGTGTGGAGAGGGGGAATTTTTCTGTAGAAATTCTAAAAGAATGTGTCTCCAGTGCTTTCCTGCATAATATGTGATATTTCATTACATTCCCAGAAATGGCGTAAATCTTTAATCTTGCTTATTTGTGTAAGTCAGTTCTGATATTGGCAGCTGAGTGGATGTGTACTTCTGTTATTAACCTCATGCCGCTTGATTTCTCACTAATCCGTTCATTATACCAAGTTACCGTCTCTGCCTGTCAGGAGTTTGCTTGCAGCTCAGCGCATTTAAAATATGCATTTATCTAGGCATAAAAATATATTATTCTGTATGTGTATTGTAAAGTTTGTGCGGTAAGATTATTTGCAAAAATGTTCTCTGGTAGAATTTGCAAAAATAAAAGAGGAGAGGTTTTTCAGTTTCTTTTCTTTTCAGGTAAGCCCGTGATGATTGTGACAGAGTATATGGAGAATGGCTCTCTCGATACGTTTTTAAAGGTATAATTTAGTCCTCATTTAATTGTTCAGAGAATTGTTTACATAGTGGTGGTGATCATGAATTTGTATGTAGGTCCCTTTGAAACTAAACTATTGATTAGGGTAGAAATACCTAGAGTTAGAATAATTATACTCCCAAATTAACTTTTATATGAGAATTATTATTTTCAGAAATCTTTTACAAATGCAAATTAGATATAGCCCTGGCAAAGCAAAATGCTTCCACAGGGCTGTGGAGTTCATGAATGGGGGCACTGTAGGATGATCGAAGTGCCGCAAGCCAGCCACTCCTACCACCAGCACAGTACATAGCAAGAGAATCATCAGCATTGTCTGACTTGTAAACAACTGGAACTTTGGTGTCTTACTTCAGTAGTAAAGAGCCTGGGTGAGCTAGTGCAATGCATATTGGTAGGCCAGATCTCACACCTTGGCTAATGGTTTATATCTGTAACATGTTGACTGCTACTTTAGATTACGAAAAGAGATGGGGTGGTGTCATTGATGATAATGGTAAAATTGGCCTATGCAATGAACTGATGATTTTCCAAATTTCTCTTCCAACCTGAAGCCTTGCACCAGATTTGTTTGCCAGATTTCTTCTTGCCACCATGAAGTTACCTTGTGTTGTAAAATCACAGCATTCCTTTAGTTCAAAATAACTGTAACACCTTGTTAAGTCTATGTGACGAGTAACAAAGAATCCACTTCTTAGGCCTGCCAATGTCGCTCTGAAGCCATGCCCGTCCATCTGCTGCTGCAGAAAGCCCTCTGTCCCGCTGGCCATTTCATCTTCACATCAATATGCCACCACAGCTGGCTGTGCTTAAATCACCTCAGAATCGGTGCCAGGTTAACGCAAAGCAGGTAGTAGGTTAGCGTGACAAACACTCCTCTGATGACGGAGGATAAAGGCATTGCAATGCAGGAAAGGTGAACGAAATGCAACTTTCAAAAATGACTTTCAAAGCCTTTATCTGCTTTAAGCAGCGGGCAGATAAGCATTCCCCACTTAACTGTGTATATTCCCACACTTCACATTCTCCATCAGCTGGAAATGGCCTGAGGGTGGTGATGGACAATAGGATGAATTTGGAGACTGAAGGAAGATTCTTTGACATGGTCACGCAGTGATTACCATAGACTAATATTTGCACACTGTCTTCCCAGAAGAACGATGGCCAGTTCACTGTGATCCAGCTTGTTGGCATGCTGAGAGGCATCGCTGCAGGCATGAAGTACCTGTCTGACATGGGCTACGTGCACCGAGACCTGGCTGCTAGAAACATCTTAATCAACAGTAACCTCGTATGCAAAGTGTCTGACTTTGGACTTTCCAGGGTGCTGGAAGATGATCCAGAGGCAGCCTACACCACCAGGGTAAGATGTGATGGAATGTATTTCCGAAAAACTAGATAAGGATATTTAATTTTTAAAGCTGTTAAAGGAAATTACAGAAGGACATTTCTCTAACAAAGTCTTGGAGAGAGAGTGAGGAACAAAATCACAGACAATACTCTTTTTTTAAAAAATCATTAAACTCTATACCTACAATGTCAGGATGCACTTAAGTGATGGACTTATGACTATTTTTGAAGGACTATACTATTGTAATAACATAGGGAAAATCAGTTGGGGGAGAGGAATTGAGGAGGGGAGCAGGGAACAACCCTGAGCCTGTGGAACTGCATCATAAAATTGTTAAATGTTAATTAATTTAAAATGACAAAACTCAAATATAGAACTTATAAGAAAAGTATTTGGCTTCTGAGCCTCGATAATTTATTTTTCTTGAGCATACTAAAAGATCCTAAATTCAGAATGGCTACAACAACGTTAGAATCCTGAAGTGTTTTAAATGAAAAAAAAAAAATAAACAGCAAAACCCTACATTAAGAGAAGTATATAAGTGTACAGGATTTGTAGAAATGTGAAATAGACATACATATATACATATGTATCTATATATGAGAGCATCTGAAAGAATTAATTATTCCATATATCAAGGCCTCTGCAGTACAAGTATCCACTTGTATGAAATAAATATTCGAAATAAATATAAATATTCCATATATCAAGGCCTCTGCATACAAGTATACACTTGTATGAAATAAATATGAAAAATCCAGATCAGACTTTTCTGAAGAATATGTATCGGGGAGAAGAGAAACCTAGTTCTTCAAAATGTTTGATTAACAAGAGAGAACTGCAATGCCTCGTTGCCTTCTTCCAGTTCTGTGAAAGCTGTCAAGCCCACATCTGTGGAAAATCGGTCACTCATCTTGAATGTATGTGATACATAGTTGGCAATCTTTCCTGTGGCTGATTGCGGCCATGACTATTTGTGCTATTCTGTGTTTATCTGATTCTAAGTCTTTCTGGTAGCATCAGTTGGGTCCCTCCAAATGAGAGGAGTGAGCAAGTTGACTGAAGGAGGGTAGCAAAACAGAGTGGAAGAAAGAGACAAATAAAATAAATGGCATCCAAGGCTCAGGCAGCGAGCAGCTCTACCCTGTGTGCCTTGCTGGTGGCAGGGACCCCAGTCAGCTGCAGCATCACCGGCTGCTCCCTAGGGTCTCCCGGCACTGGCAGGAAGCTCAAGGCTGCATTGAGAAGCAGAGCTGGGACCTGGCCCTGAGTACTGTAGCATGGATGACGTGTTGTCACAAAGAGCATCTCAACTGCGGTGCCAAGTGCTGACTATCAATTAGACATTTTAAAACTACCTCTACTGATGATCTAATAACGATTTTTTGTCATAGATTATTAAAAAGGTTTTTATTCTATTTTAGATTTTTTTTTGGCTTTGTGAGTTATAAATATTTGGGCATTTGCACTATGCTGAACAGGCATGTGTGATTTACCCAAGCAAATAAAGCCTTCCAAAAGGCAGCATAATAAATCAATGAATGTGTTGCTGGTTGGATAGACCGCTTCCTTGAGACCGAACTCTCGTCTTTGCAAGCATTTCTATTAAATGGAAATCAATTAAGAGTTCTCCTGGGCTCAGAGTTGCTCTTAACAAAGTTGACATGAGTGAGTTTGAGGTCATAAAACAGTTCATCATCAGGGTGATTGGTTGGTGTCTCAGTTAATACAAAAGGATAATTTTAATTATCAGTGTCCTTGTGGCATGTTCCAGGATAGGATTAGACATCCAGAGACTCTCAGGGGGTACTCCTCTGAAGAAGCAATGATAGCAGTTTGAAGGAATTCTGCAATCTTAAAAATGAAGTAATACAGGATTTGGAATGACGTACATGACATGTGGATGTCCAGAATTCCAGACGAGAAATTATAGGATAATGTTTAACATCTTGAAGAAATGGTGATTCTAAAGGTTTATTTAGAGTATCAGACTTTTTTTTGCCAACTTAAGTTCCACGATATGACCTATGAACATCTGTAAGTAACACACATAATTTTCAAGAGTGTCATCCTTAAACGGGGTGTCTGTCATCTGAGGAGCAAGCATGCTGAGCCGAACTTCAACTTCCAGAATAATTTCAGGCATGGCACAAACTATCATTTCCTCATGTATTTTGTAACTGAATCACAAGAGCAACTTAAGTTTAATTTTTTCCCTAGGATATGTATGGAAGAATTTATTTCCTGCAAAATGGGAAGGCATATATTAGTCTTTTTAAAAGATAATACTCTCTCATATCCATCCATATATATACATATATGTATACATACACATATGTGTATATATATCACATGAATGTTTGAAACAAAAAAATTGAAATTGGGACCAACCTTGTGATGTAACATGTTAGGGCGCTGCCTGGGACACAAGCATCCCTCCAGAAGCTAGTTCAAGTCCTGACTGACCAATTCTGATCTGTCTCACCACTGACACACCCCAGGGAGCACCAGAATATGGACCAGACATTTGAGCTGCTACCACACTCATAGAAGACCCAGATGAAGCTGTTGGTTCCTGGCTGTTGTGGCCATTTGGAGGAATGGATCATTGGATGGAAGATTCATTTCTCTTTGTCTCCCCTTCCGCTCTATCTCTTTTTAGCTGCAAGTCTGCTTTGCAAATAAATACATACATCTTCAAACTTCAGTTTATAATATTCATTTTCCATAATTTATGTGAGATCTTTCATGCTTACATGGGAATAAAATGGTTTTCTGAGTTTCCCTGTTTTTAAAGATTAAGAAAATAAAGGGTACCGAAAGGCTCAGGGATGAAAAGGTTTATTATGTGACCAAAGAGAAAACATACCAAATGTGTTTCTCTAACATGTTTCAGCATGGAAAACATTATAAATTTTTAGCCATAAATCAAAGTCAATTAATTTTTTTCTTTTGTTTAAGTGTTACAACATAATGAAGTCTTTGGCTAAACCATGCCAAGTGAAAGGAACCATAACAAAGAAAAGATGAGGAAATACAAATCTAAACAGAAGAACATAACGAGGAAAGAAACCATGACTTCCTAAAGTTACTAATTTTCTGTCAGGAAGACACTGGGTGATAAAGTTGCCCAATTTTCATGCTTGTCTTATTACCTGGGATGCTTACTCAAGTTGACATAGACTTTCTGCTTTCGATTTCTGTACTAAAAGAGGAAGCATGAAGGGAATTTGAGTCTTTGGCTAACACTTGTAAAGTCAGAGTCTAGCTCGTGGATCCCCCTGGCTGCCTCTTTGCGCCATACATGCTCCAGGAGTCTAGCAGCATTGACTAGAGAACTTCTAGAAAGCCGGTCAGCTGTTAGTCTGCAGGTACCCATGGATCGTGCGCTTGTAGGACAGATCCTATTATTATGTTCTATCTCTTTCCAGATCCTTTCAGTGAAACATATCCCTGGGTAGATTCGAAATAGGCCACGGTTTAGTTTCTCTTCCATTTTCTGTTTCAGGGAGGCAAAATCCCGATCAGATGGACTGCCCCAGAAGCGATAGCTTTCCGGAAGTTTACCTCTGCCAGTGATGTGTGGAGCTATGGAATAGTGATGTGGGAAGTGGTATCGTATGGAGAGCGACCCTATTGGGAGATGACAAACCAAGATGTGAGTATGCAGCCACTCTCCTAAGTGGGTGCTTTCTTCTCCAAGTCAAGGCGCTTGGCTGTGGTTTTTGTTTTCCAAAGCGACAGTTCCTTAAAGAACATGAAATACTTTGCTTACCCTGTGATCTGTTTTGCTGCTGTTGAAATAACCTTCGTGCAGCTGCTCAGAAAGCATTACTACAAAATAAAATAAGTTATAGTTCTGTAGGAACTCGGTCCCTTGCCAGGCAGTATCAGCTGCACCGGAGTGATGTTTCACTCAATTTATGTCAGTATCATTTTCAAAGAGGGAAAAAAAAAGCCATCAAAGAGTGAATCCTCACAGGCAGGATTTTTATGATTTGCATTTGGTGAAAGAAGCTCAGACTCCATACTGAAAGCAACATTGGTCTAATAGTAGGTGTCCTTAAATGATAAAGGGTAATCATCAGTGTTTATTAAAATTAAAAAGTATAAAGAGAATTGAGCAGTCTATCTCATTTGAGAAGGAAAAAAACATACTTCATTCTGACAATGAAAAAAAAATTCATACTTGATATAATCTCAGGAATAAAGGAACTGTTAAAGAATCTTTTACTGAAGTTCAGAGCATTTATGACATGGCACTTGATTCTCCAATCTTTCCTTTTGTTTCTCATTGAAATGTGATGTGGTTCATTCAGATAATCAGCATTATTTAAACAGCATAATTGGAACACTTTCTGTATCTTATACACTGTCTTGAGTGTTTTACTGATAAATACGTCACTGCTTCTCTGTAAAACTATTACAATGAACAGTCCTAATTCAATAGTTACTTGTTTTAAACTTTTTATTTTATGCTCTGATTATTTTTTCACTCCATGCTCTATAAAATCCCCCTGTCCCATTAGTGTCCAAGGGGTTGTTAGATGCCGTACCTCTCCAGCCAAACTTGGTAGTCCTGAGCCACCATCTAACACATTCTAATATAAATATTAAAATGGATATTGAATGGTGGTCACCATACCACTTGAAAATGCTTAGATCGTATCAGAATGCCTGGATTTCAGTTCTAGTTCTGCTTCCGATTACAACTTACTGCTGATGTGTGCTTCAGGACACAATAGGTGTGAGCTGAAGTACTTTGAGTTCTTGGCGTCCACATGGGTCCCAGGACTGATTTCTTGGCTCAGGTTTGGCCTTTCACAACCAAGCCATCTGCAGGCATTTGGAGAGTAAACCAGCAAATTGGATTTCTCTTCCCCCTTCTGCATACACAAATTTAAAATCAGTTATAAGGCCTGGCACAATAGCCTAGTGGCTGGAGTCCTCTAGCCAGTTTGTGTCCCAACTGCCCCACTTCCCATCCAGATCCCTACCTGTGGCCTAGGAGAGCTATATATAATGGCCCAAAGCCTTGGTTTCCTCTACCCATGAGGTAGACCTAGAGCAGGCTCCTGGCTCCTGGCTTCTGATCAGCTCAGCCCTGGCTGTTGTGGCCACTTGGGGAGTGAGCCAGAGGATGGAAGATCTTTTTCTCTCTCTAATTCTTGACTTTCCAATAAAAATATATAAATTTTTTTAAAAATATAAACAATTAACTTCAATCTTATTTGAAGCTATTCTCTAACCATTTCAAGGTATCTTCTGCAATCCCAGATGAGTCAGTGCTGGTTAGGAAGAGGCTTAGATTTTTATTCTGCCTTCCTTGCCCATGTCTTGTGTGAACTCCACATGGTTGTCCAGATGAAGAGGTTGCAAAGAAGCAACAAGACTGCTTTCCCTATCCGGGGTAACTGGAGCTGCCTGTGAGCAGACACTCAGACATGACTGCTCAAATGAAGAGTACGCCAGGCTCTTGATGGGCTCTCCAGCTAAGTCCTCTGAAGGAGACCCACGTCCTTCCAACCCACTCGCACGGGACTGCTGCCTTGGGCCTGGGCACCAGCTCCAAATCTTTGGCTGCACCACACTGGAATGTGTTTTCTTTAAGAGAAACATCCTGGTTGAGTGCTTTCCCTCTGCTCCTGCTCTTGAGATTCCCAGGAGGCACTTGTAGCAGCCTACTTGTTCACATGTGCCCCCCAAAAAGCCGTAGTCACACGTGAACTTTTCCAGGAATTCGTTTGGATTGCTGTTCCCTCGTAGCAAGGGCTATGTGTGTCTGTGGGCTTCTGCCTCTTGCATTCACAGCAAGCAGCTGGAACTTGGAGGCCGCACTCGTGTTCCTTGGGGCCCCATTCTGTTTACTAGAGAGAGAGAAGTCGTAATCCTACATCTTCCAATGTGAGCAAATTTCTTGATGCATTCTATAGCTTGTGTAAGAATTCTGTCATTTTTCAGACATTTGGTACTCATTAGGCTCTTTGAGCATTGTAGCATCAGCCAATCTTAGAGTTTCTTCCTTTGCATTTTAACTTTTTTGAAACTTTTTGTCTACTTCTGTCCCGTTATATTGATACTCTTTGCAAATAATGTTTTTTTTTCAAACTATATACAAATACCCAAGGGAATCATGGTGTCATATTTCAGGAAGTTATAATAATAAAAGTCATATTTTGCTTTGAATGAGGTTTACAAAAGTGATCATATGTTTATAGATCTGTTTCTAACACAGTGTCTATTTCAGGCTTTCTTGTTTCGTCAATAAGACCTTGGTCATCTTTGACATTTAAGTTTCAGATAAGCCCAAATTGCCATTCAATTCTGCATCCCAGAATCATGACAGAGCAACTTTATATGAAGATCATAACCCCTCAAAATTTGCTTGTGGGGAAATGGTAAGCCGACATAGAAGCACTGGCTTGGCAGTTTTAAGGGATACAGCCCATCTTTTCTGCATTCCAAATGCTCTGATTCAGAAAGGCCTTTGCCACGTGAAAACCTTCGTGTTAGCCTGCCATTCAAGGCCATCTAAAGTCCACAACACCTTCCTCTGTGTCAAGGGGGCAGAAGGCAGAAGCGAGCTGTTTTTGATTTAGGTTTGCTACTGTCATCACAGGGGGAAAAAATGTCATAATATATAGTAAAAAGTCAACTAGAACAACTAAGATATTTGTAAATAAATATCAAATCATGAACTTGACTCAAGTTCAGGAGTCTTAGATGATGTCGTGTAGTCAGGAAGTAAGTCAGTGTATTAACAGCAAACATTTTAAATGTCAATGTTTTTCAGGATCTAAAGCAGCCAGCAAATTGAAGACTTTATCCCAGTGCACTTTTATATTTCATGGCTGACTTTTTCCTGGTAGAGTCATGCAGAATGTATCCTGCCATGGATTCAGTGAAACACGGGCATTTCAAAATGCTTTGAGAATTCATTGAAGTCTTCTGTTTTTTAGGCCTTTCTTGTTACAACACTTTTCTCTGTGTTCTTCCTGCAGAGCGTAACCCAGCAGGTTATCACCACTTCTGATGTATAGGTTGATTTGGATAGCAGGGAGGATTGACAGTTCCAGAAGAGGTCAACATTCTTTTTGTGAACCAGCACCTCATCCCTTTTCCATTCTTTGTTTCAGTCTGCTGTGACCTACATCTTCAATTATAAAAGCAGGAATATTTTGGTAAAGCAGAGAGATAAGATACTGTAGGCAACTGAAATAGAAGTGAAGGGAATTTAATTATTATCCAAGTACTACAAATTACTAGGGCCTGAAATCAGCAAATGATTCAACTTCTTAGTCATGCTGTAGTAATATCAAAAACGGGAATATTTCATGAAACAATTTAATATACTACCTTTATAATAAATCTGGCTTCTTTTAAAAGAATGATGCATTCAGAAATATCTGTGCTACAGGACAAAATCCATGTACCTTGAGTTTAACAACACCAAAATAAAATCCTTGGATTTAAATCCAGCAGTATCTTGAATTCTACAACTCTTGATCAGCTTCAATAATTATTGAGGGAAGGGATTTATATTGAAGTTTTCATGGGTCTACTTAATCTTTGGAACTTAGTTAATTCAGGACTGATTTATGAAGAAAAAGACAGTCATTATTTCTTCAGTAACTATTGAAAACAAGAATGACACCCTAAAACAACACTGATGCACCTGATGGTGTTTCTGTTATTTGAAATTAATTACAGAAATATATTTTTTAAAACTCTAGTTATAAACAGGGACTCTTTGAGTTTGTAGTAATTACTCCTACATGTGGAATTTCAATCAAATAATGGCAACATAGTTCCTACTCCCTAAGTAGAATTTACTGCATTGACACACAGCAACTACTCAAGCCTGCTCTATAATTCTCCTGTCGCTTGGATATCAAGCATATATTTTCACATTTCTTGTGATAAAGAATGTACTATACTCCAAAATTGCTCCTTTTAATGGTAAGTGTGTAAATATGTAAGAATAAGGATACAAAGATATTTTGTAAATCTCATGAAATACAGAGTTAAGTGCTAAATTTATTTTGTTACAACAATAATTTTAGAATCTATGTATAGTATTTTTCACAATATGTACTTTATTAGCTTTTAGAAGATACTTTTACACAGAAGTGTTTCACGCATTGTTGTACCTTTGGAAGCTTATATTTGAATTAATTTTTATGCGCTATGTACACATATACATTGTATGGCACAACAGTACAATTGTTATGTAAGATGCATATCTCTCACATCCCCGCTACCTCTGGGCAATGCTGCTTACTAACAATTTGATGTGTCTAAGAACCAACATGAAAAAAAAAGACATGCTTGCATGTCAGAAATCATGGAGGGATGAAGGTGAGCCAGCAGAGACGTCAGCATGTGACATGTAGCTGTGTCCCCGTGTACCAGGAGGTTGGGGAAAGGATGACTGGGGCCAAACATTTGAGAGAGATGCAGTCTGAAGAGCGTTGGAACAACTAGAAGATCTTGAATCCAATGCTATCTGTTCTAGGAGTCCCTTACCTCATGGTGACCTGTCGTTTCATCCCTGCGTGGTCAGGGACTGCTGGGAGGAACCAGCAAAACATGGCTTTGGTGCCAACATTTTGAAGGGTTGAAGAGCACAGCAGTGACACTCATTGGTCAGGTGTCTTTCCTGTGGGTAAAGATTTCAGAGACGCAGTTGCTTTATGGTCATACTCTGTCTCTCCATAGCACAGATCTGTTCTTCAGTGGCCATTCTCCTATGGTGACAATTCGCCCTTCCTAAGGGCAGCTCAGGCTTGCAGTTCAGCTGTCATGTCTTCACAGCATTCTGTGAAGAGAGTTGCTTACAGACAAGGAGCTTTGTGCAGTGCTGTGTGCGAACCAGCTCATACGGGCTAGCTGATGTTCAGAACATGCTAAGTGTGCCTTCCTCGAAGGAAGGTCAGTTAAGTGTTTTCCCAGTATTGTTTAGGGCACACACGGTGTGGCGAATGAGCTTGGCCAGAGTCCATGTTGGTGGATTTGGCATTCCCCAGCTCGTAGGGCTGGCCGATGCTTCATCAGCAAGAAAAGCCAACTATACCCAGCATACACAGGTAGAGACCTGCAAAGGTGAAGCCAGTCTCTCACAGGATGCAACCTAGCCCACTGGAATCGTCTAGCCCCCGAATGGATAATACCATATCTGGGGTGCGATGTTGAGGAAAAAACCCTAAAGAGAGGGGTAACATTTTTTAAATTGTGTTCAGAATATTTTCATGTTAATGCCGAAAAAAAGGCTATTTATCCAGCCAGGACACTTCTGAACTGGTGCCAAACTGTGTAAATTCTCATTGCCTTTTCTTTCTTTTCATTCTTTGTCCGTCTCAAGCGTTGAGTTTAACAGATATAATAATGATGAGGCAGTCCATTAAGATTGTGATTCATCTAGTTGTATGTTACAAACTGCATGGTAAAATTAATGACCGAATGGCACATGGGGTGATGCAGGTAGATTTTTCAACATTTCGCAAGTCAAAAGAACACCAGTGCTATAAGACACTACTAAAACTACCAAAGAAAAAAGAATTACATTGAAAACAAATTCAACATTTCTAAACAAAATCTGAAGCTCTAGTTCCAATCCTATATGTAGATTAAATGCTTGAGAAGAAGTTATCACTACATGTGAAGACTTAATTATGTGGGCCAAGTTTTAGGTTACATGAAGGGAAATTATATTTCTGAATATAATCTATCTGAAAATAACACTGATTAAGTAATAAATTGTGTAAATAACTTCACAGGTCAGATAATCGATTGTTTTCATAGTAGCATATAAAAGTTGCTGCCCAGTGGAGTTAAGACCATATTGTAGATTAATAATAAAGAGGAAAATAGAACCAATTGGTAAAACATTGGGGGGTTATAAAGCACATTATAAAATAAACCGTTTTAAACTAGAGGTGAATTGCCGAAAATGCTCCATGATTTATGCTACTTATGTTGGTATTTCTTATTTTGATGCAGATTTGTTCTTCAGGAAAGTATTCAGTACCATTATTAGAAATGGGGTATGGGTATCTTACAATAAGTAAATTAATGAATTTGTATTCTTGCATGAGTGCAAGTGATATTTTTTATTCATTTAGCATTTATTTTTTTATTACCAATGAGAGTTTCTTCTCCAAATTATTAGTTATTTGGTTCTTTTGTGGTCTTTGACTACTGTCTACTTCCTACTTGTAATTTTATCATGTTTTTCTCAGTATATATTCATTTTTAATGCAGTGGCTATGTTAGTCAGACATGTCAGTTGTTGCAAATATTTCTTCTGTGATTTGTACCATATTGCGTATATTGTTTTGAGTTGAATGTGTTGATTACACTGGTCGGTGGCCCGTTGGGTTTTGCCTGTAGTGATTCAATTATTCCTGTAACCATTGATATTCAGAAGCCTTAAGTCCTTTCTGTTTCTCTGCCTGCATGTAATTATTGGTGCCTCTCAGAAACCTTTATTATATGCCTTTCCTAAACAGAAATAAACTGCACCGGCCTCAAGCTGTGACCAATCACTGATGACCCTCGCATGTGTATTATCAGCCCAAATGTCTCCTGTGCTCCAGCCAGGTGCCTGCAAATTGCCATCTGGGTGTTCTCCGTTCACCTCAAATAAGAGAAGGCACGAATTAGACCTGACAACATTTCCCTCCTCTGTTAACCTGCTTACCTGATGTTGGTGGAAATAGCTATCCAGTATGATAGTATTAGTTTTTAGCTTCTCTTTTCTATCTGTTCTACTCCAAGATCACACTGGGTCTTCCATGGCTTGTTTATCTGCAGCACAGCGTTTTGGCAGGTGTCAGTTCCTGTAGGAACTGGGTTTTCTCCAGTAACTCAGAACTCTTTGTAAAGTTTCTCCTCTATTCATCTTACTTCCCATGGATCAAGATCAAAAATCTAAACTCCTTTTCAGGAAACGTAAACAAGTCAGCTGTTAAATATATATTCATTTGAAGATTAGAGAAATATATTCATTAATCTCTTGAATATCAATATCTCTTACATATCAGTATCTCTCAAATAGTGGAGTCTTCACTTTGAGTAAGACCTTAATTTTTAAATACCATGAATAGTTCATTTCTGGAGGTAGATATTTCAATGACAAACCAAAATTATAAATATATTTAATAAAACAACCTCACAATTAAACTGATAGTCGTGTGTGGTTATGTTTGAAAACAATGACGTTTGTAATAGCTGTGTTACTGCAGAGTCATTCAGAATACCTCCCGAAATCAGAAGATGATCACAAACCGTTGAAGCTTGACATTATTAAATGATACACGAGACAGTTATGCTAATTTAACCTTTGGCATATCCATCATTTGCCATCCAAAAGTCACTTTTGAAATAGGATTGCAGTTCTATCACTTTAAAAAAAAATGTTTCTCTGCACATATTTTTTCATTAAAAAGCCACTAACTTTTCAGCGATATCACTAGAAAATTTAATCTGTTGGATTCTAGAATATAGGATAAATAAAACATGAGCTGTTCATTTCAAGTCAATTAATTTTACGAATCACTCTTAACCGACATTTTCATTAAAAGTATTATCATTTATGTTACTTGTACTATGTGAAGAAAGCTCATCTTTATTTGTTGGGATAATGTGTTTCTAATATTACACTGCTTTGCAACAACTGGAAGTAGTGTTGGAATTCAGTTATGTTGTTTTTTATTTGTTCCGATTTTGTTTGTTGTTTGTGTAGCCAGGGCATAGATAAGGATCAGTGTTAGCACGAAGCTCTCCCGGCCCCCCTGTGAGTGCGTGCTGTCGGGGTCCTGATGTGCTCTGTGTCATGCAGGTGATTAAAGCAGTAGAGGAAGGCTACCGTCTGCCCAGCCCCATGGACTGCCCTGCTGCTCTCTACCAACTAATGCTGGATTGCTGGCAGAAAGACCGCAACAGTCGGCCCAAATTTGACGAAATAGTCAACATGCTGGACAAGCTGATTCGTAACCCGAGTAGTCTGAAGACGTTGGTCAATGCATCAAGCAGGTACAGGGCCAGGCGTGAACACTTTTCCTGAATGTAGTTATTTCAGATTGATGTCCCAGATTGGTCATCAATTAAATTCGTATTGAATACATGTTAGTTTTATGAATATATGATTAATTTATGATCTTTGCAGTCACTCTTGAAATAAATGAAATTAAAACTATCAAAATAGAGTTAAAAGAGCAACAATAACCTAATCTAATAGCATACTGCTACATGCTAGATTCTGATTTGTGTGAATAGTCATGTTTAGGCAGAATAAAGATACAACATTTAACTGTATGTATTTTTAAGAATAGATGATGATGAAGGAGATGCATCAGGACAAAGCCAGTGAATCACGGATACATTCTGAAGTATAAATATCAAGCAACAATTGCTCTTCCACTTCTTTAGAATGAGTTATAATCCATCATTTATGTATGGAGACATTTTAGTGTTCCTTTTTATGAACATTGACAAATTGTGAGACCCCTTTTGTCATTTCCATTTGTAGGCAGATCCTTAGTTAATCATTTAATATGCAGCTTGATCAAAATAAAGTTGATAAGGGGGTATCTTGTAGAGAAAATTGGTAAGAGGACCTTATTTTCATTTAAATAGTGTTGCATACTTACACAGGACCTTTATTCTCTTTACCTGAACTATTATAAATTGACTCTGAAAAAGAATGAATCCATTTGATTCCATGTTAGAAATATCCACTTTATTTGAGGCAGCTGTGTGTTTTTATTAGAGTGTTACGTCAGAAATTGAATTGTCCACCTAGCAGTATGAGCTAAATGAGGAAAAAAGGTGTTGATAAAGTTGCGTATGTTTTGTAATTTTGACATAACACTTGTTTACTAGGCACAGAGTCACTTTAAATACAAATGAGACCTGAATCTTCACACTGTTCAGGCATCATTAACTTTCTATAGCAGCAACTGGGGAATGCTGGCAATTATTCATTACACTGTGCCTTGAATATTTACTTTTAAATTGTTTATTGTTCTATAAAATATGAAGCCTTTCTTTCATTTGTTTGTTTGAATTATTTAGGATGTCACAAATAGACAGTAAGGAAAAATTTTAAAGCAAAATGTTCAGTGTGCCAAAACTACATTAATTTAGGTTAGCATTATCATTTTAGTTGAGTGCAGTTTAAAAGCAAAAGCACTTTTGTGTTTCCTTGTGTAACTGTAGAATTTGCTGAGTTCATTAAAATAAATTCAACTCGAATATCGCAACATTATTTACCCTTCTTTTTGAGTCATTTGCAGAGCCTGGTTCTAGAAGGCGCTGGTCCTGAATTCAGTGCCACTTTTGCGCTCTGTGCCTGCCTGGGTTACAGACTGGATCACCTCACTTTGCAAAGTGTAGGTGATGCTGATCTGTCAGGACTTGTGAATCTCTTCTCCAACCATCGTGTTCTCCAACTTTGCTTGAGCTGTCCTTCCCAGGCTTACAATGCAGATCTGATATTACCAAAAGGCGCAACACAACCACAATTTCAACTTCAAGGAGTCTATTTTCCAAATGTTCCCTCTTTGAGCCTCACTCTGTGGAAATTCTTAAGAATTCTCCACTCCAATGTTTATTGGCTGGAAGTTACTATAATACATTCTTTCGTATTGCCAACAAATACTCATATTTTTAGTCTTTTTCATACTAGGTGTTACTTGCCAAGTATTTATCATTGATCTTAGAGTCCGATTTATCTGTCTTTATGGAATCCACAAAGTAAAAATAAACCTCAAGTAAAGCTTGTGTTGGGCCATGGAAAGGGAATGAAAATAAAATTGAAAGAAGATAACTAGAAGTCTTGAACAATTTTGTGCAGTGTCTTGAAATTTTGATGATAAATGAGATAGAGAAGTAGTCAGATGTGCAGTTAACCTGGAAGTAAAACTGATCTCATGGAGCATGACCGATTACTAAGAGTGAGGGGTTCAAATCAGCACCCATATGGGATAGCAGCACTTAGCATTTTAAATGACTGTGCCGCAGCACTGCCCCTAGAGACTTTACTCATCTATTCATGCTATATGAAATCCTTAGCTGCTGTTTTATTTTACAGAAAAAAAAATAAGTATTCACTAATTCTAGAGAAAACAAATGTCAGTGAACTGATGTTATGCTGCTGTGTAGACCTAATTATTTCCTTCCATGTAACTATTTCTATAATTTTGTCTCATAAGTATATTTTTAAATGACTCGAAGATCCAGTTAACCTCATAATAAATTTTGCTGCAAAGGAGTAAAAGTATCATTTCTAATATTTATGCTTTATGTATTTTAGAGTATCTACTTTATTGGCAGAACATGTCCCAGTAGGATGCGGGGCCTACAGATCAGTAGGCGAATGGCTAGAAGCAATCAAGATGGGCCGGTATACAGAGATTTTCATGGAAAATGGATACAGTTCAATGGACGCTGTGGCTCAGGTGACCTTGGAGTGAGTAATCTTTCTCATAATTTTTACATAATTGCTGGGGAAAGGCGAAATGCACAGAAACCAATCTGGATGAGGTCAAGGTGTGAAATCAGTTTATCCTGGTCCCTGTGCAGCAGCGTTCAAAGCCGCCTCATCCTTTTTAGCCTGTATTGTTAACAACTGCATGATTAATACTTCTTTTACCAGTATCTTGCCTTTGTGTTTCAAGCAAATAGCATTTGAATATTTGAATGATTGGACTCACAGCTCCTTGGCAAGGTACTGGTTTTTTGTGTGTGGTAAAGACGTTTTCTTGACATGGTTTTTATACTGGTAGCTATGTCATATGAATGTAAATACGAAACAAAACGAACTGTAAGCACAATTGGTGTGGCTAATCCTACCTAACAGTGAAACGTTCCCAAATTTTGGTTGCCTTCAAAGAACTTCCGGGTAACCACAACTTGAGGAAAACATTTCTGGCAGGAATCTCATTTAACCTCCCAGTGGTGCACTTTAAACGTTCTCGCAATCGGAGGATCTATCAAGTCCTGCCGCTGATTCGCTATGTTACAATCTCAGTGGAACCAATTGTGCCCTTTTTGGTTTGCACGTTTAAGATAGAATTTATCAAACCTTATTAAATAAAAATCACTAGAGTTAAGTACTAAGTTCTTAAGTGTGAAAGTTGTTTGTATTTTATTATATACTCTGTATGCGTAATTATTTCAGCCTAATTGTTATTTGTGAAGAATTAACTGTCCTGGTGGTTCAATCTAGATCACAGTCACAATAATGAGGTTTTAACCTGTGACTACAATGATTATGTCAAATGGCCTGCAAATTCAAAGCTTAAAATATTGTCGTGAGGTTTAGAAAATGATAGAATATTCTAAAGCACTAAGCTGCAGTCCTGCTTTCATTGCTCCACATCAGATGAATATTAAAGAGTTCACCCTTGCCACTCTGTCATTCTTGCATTCATTGAGTTCATTGATCATCCCCACAAAAGGTAACAGGGTACCAGCATTTATCAGCCATGGATGTCACTTCTCAGCATTTTCTTCCCTCATATCAGTAACTACAGGCAACAATCATCAACCATCAGCTGGCTTATTATCATTTTCTGAGTCCCATTCTTACCGTCACCACCAAATCGTATCTGCTTTATCCCATATAGACTTTGCCCATTATTTCTTTGGATATGCAAGGAACGCATTTGTGATATATTTAAAATAGAATACTGAAAAATTGATACGTTTAAAATATTTTTACATGATTCCTATTTAATTTTTCAGTAAAATGGTCATTTTAATTTATTAAAGTCATTTGTCATTTTATATTAAAATGATACTGTAGGTATTTCTTCTACCCAATGTCAGATTATTTGTAAATATGCAATAAAATTAATAATTTTAAACAATGCATTAAAACAATGTCTCTTTTTATTAGAAAGAACACTTGCATTTATAGTTGTACTTACTACATATTTGCTTCTTCACAGAATAGATACAAAGATTTTGTTTGCATTAATTACCTGTGTTTTACTTAATTTGGGGGAGGGGCAAAAAAAATCCCATAAATAAACTGAATATTTTACTGTTGTGATTTCCCTTTTTCTCACTTCTTTTCTAATTATTTCTCACTTGTTTTCTAATTATTTTCCTATCTGCCCTGCTGTCCCCCAACTGTCTTCGTTTCTGGGTTCTATTTCTGACACAAACAGAGCAATCTCTCTATTCTGCTATGGTGGTTCTTACCCATTTGTTGCCTTTAGCTGTTCTTGGAAATAGTTTTGTGTTTTGCTTCATTTACTCTGACCAAACAGCAAGGAGATGCATCAGCATCTGACTGCTTGCAGACTATCCGTCTGCTTCAGTCAGTAGCTTCAAAAACCTGGGACCCGTGAGAGTGGACAGCTCCTTACCATGAGCTGAAACATAGATCCTAATTCTGGTAAAGCTGATTTCTTGCAAGGTCTAAAACTTTTAATAAATATTCTTTGGTTGACTGTGTTAGGGACTACATTTTTGTAATCAGTAAGAAAATCTCAAACTGTGAGGTCATTCACAAAACAAGGATTAATCAGTTCTTTGGTTGGTCAATAATAATAATAATAATAAAGATTATCCATACATTTTGTTTGCTTTCCTTCCTTAATAAGAGAAAAAGAAAGTCTGATAGAAACTAATGTCAAGGAACTCAGATTATCAGCAAAAGAGAAAGACAAAGTCTCAAAACACCCTGTGAAGTTCATCGTTCAACATCTAAACAAGAACCTAATGAAGTCTCAGACATAATGATGGAATTAAATATCATTCCTAGAGCTGTTGCCATGACATTGTAAAATGTGACATTGTAAAATGACACAGCAGTGTCATGGAGCAATGCACTACTCATGCTTAGAAAATAGTAAAATCAATCCTTAAGAGCCAGGAGTGAGTGATCAAACTGCCATGTGATAATCAAAGATGTGTTTTAATTTGGGATATCAAATTTGTTTTAAATGGCTTAAGAAAAACAAGGGCAAAATGCTTAGGTTTTTATACTTACCTGTTTTGGTTTAAATTGTTTCATACAGGTTTGATTTGATTATGAATTATTTGCCAGTATTGTGTGAATGAATGGGAAAATAAAGAACTTATAAATATTGAAGTCCAAGATGTTCAATGAAAATGCTTCGCAATATTGCATGTTTTTGTCTCCTGTTTACTCCGTGCTGGAATCTTGCTGTTACATGTCTAGATTCATGGTAGATGGATGATCGTGGCAGTCACGGTGCAAACTGTACACTCATGTCCAAGTACAGTAAGTCATTGTAAGAAGGTGAATTCCAAACTGCAACTTGAATAGAAAGTTGTTAACAGACAGAAGAGCTGCTTCAAGCAGTATTGTCAGAACTGTCAGCCTTTGATTATTCAGAAAACGAGCAATGTCTGATTAGTTTCAATTTGTATAAATTGGTAGGATTCCTGTTAATATCTTCAAAGGAATCTTTAATTACCAAAATGAAGTTTTCCAAATCTGGACCTGAAATGTAGTCCATGAACTCAACTAGATTCATTAATTTATGAATAAAATACTATGCATTATTTTGGGTTTATCTTTGTTCAAAGTGCACATAGAATTTACTATCCTTTTTGTTCTACATAAATAATCTAAAACTCGAGGTTTAGCCCTCACAATATCTTACCTGTGAACAGTATTAGCAAGTTGTTGATAATATTCTATTGCCAAAAGAAAATGATTATTTGAAAACTAATTGTTAAAACTGATTACCAGAATTGTCTAAGCTAAAAACAGGAGAACATACAACTGCGTGGCAAGACTAAGGCGAATGTGATACACACTGAGATGTAGTCAACCTTCGTTGAACTTTCTTCTCCCTTCTGTTCGACCTATGTTGGAACTAAGTTCCAATTCTAAGGCTGAAAGGTGTGTAAAGCAGAAGGGAGCAGAAGGAACAGGCAAAGAATCTTCCACAGTCCCATGAGTTCCATCCTGAATAATCAAGAGTTGGCTCCAACACCAAACAGTTTATTCTCTATTTTTAACATTAGTGTTTTAGCTTCATAGTATGTAAAATAGTATTTTCTCGTGAATAATATTTGAAAAATGCTGGAATGTAATTGTCAGATAGCAATTCAGTATACTTGCAATTCTTCTAAAATTAGTTAAGCTATGTCAAAAAATTAAAGTATTGTTATGTGTCAATACTATTTTCACTATGTTTCAAGTTGTAATCCTATGTTCAAAGAGTTTATGGTCATTATAATTGGCATTGAGTATTGCTTAAGATTACACGTGATCATGGTGAAATTTAAAAAATATATATTTTAAAAGGGACACACTTAAAGCCAACTTTCTAGAACTGTTCTTCTCTAGAAAGAAAAGGAGCAAAGAGAAAACAGCATGTCTTATATCCTCTCCAAATTTTATATATATATATGTATATATATATAGATATGCTGGATAAGGCAGAAACTTTGTCATTAAATGGAAAGCATTTTATTTTCATCAAATAATCTCATTGTGTTGCTAATTTGACCGTCTCATGTCATACTGTTCAGTTAATGCAGTGAAAATTGTTGGAAATAGCAAAAAAAAAAAAAAAATGGAAGTTAAAAGCATGTAAAAATGCATTAACCACATTGGATTAAAGTTCTCTGTTCCTCAGTGTGAGCATGTTTCTAATGCCATGTTAATTTTCAATTGTGGGATCATTAGAAAAATAGTGAAACGGATTGTTTAAGACAACTGTCTTGCTATTGATATTAAGCTTAAATTGCATAGTTTGAGGTCTCCTTCACTTTGTAAAGAGACATTTGTCAGTTGCATGCATTGTAATCATGCTGTCTTCAAAATCTTCACACATTAATGGGACAGCTCTAGGACAGATTTAGAGATGCCATCCAGCCAACATCATTTTTGGCATTGCATAAAATCACGTGCTTCTTTAAATGCCTTCCATAGAGAGAAAGAAGGCAGAGGCAAGGAGAAAATAAAGGAAGAATATAAGTGGGCTGAACATTCGTATGTTTCTTAGGGAAGAGCCAGATAAAAAATTGATTCTGAAGTCAATTTATCCCATTGGTTCACTGAGAAAATTGTTGCGAATGTTCTAAGGAAAGATAGCAGTCATCTTTTTCATGAGCACTGCTTTTACACCTAAATTTGTTACTCAAGCAAAATTCCTCAAAACATTTATTCTTTAGCATGACAGGAAATCATGACCATTTTGTTTTTGTGATTAATTTCCAGAGAGTGAAATAATATTTACATCTCATTTTCATAAAGTAGTTCAGTATAGAATATACACAAATAAAGTCATTGTTGAGATTTGATATCATTTATAGACCAACACTCTAGAGTAGGGCTTAGGGCAGGTTTATGGGGTGGCGACTTCAGCCACACATTGGGACACTTTGATCTCATGTTGGAGTGCATGCATCCAGTCCTACTGCCTTGTATCTGATTCAGTTCTTTGCCCTTTATTCTGCAAACACAGTACATAGTCCTTCACATTCTGTCCTGTCATGCGTATTGGAGACCGGTCCGGAGCTCCTGATTGTCTGGGCAAGGTTTGGCTGTTGGGGGCCTTTGGGGAACATATCGGCAGATGGATGATCATTCTAGCCCCCCGCCATCTCTTCTCTCTCTCTCTCTCTCTCTCTCTCTGACTCTTCATTCCTGTTTGTGTCTTTCTCCCCTCCTGGCCTTTCCATCTCTGTTACCTTGACTTTCAAATCAATAAACACATAGCCTGAAATATGAGTAAAGAGTTGGAATATGGAGCAATAAACTCACATATGGCCACTCACATGTTTTTGAAATGGGGAAATTCTCTTCATGATCAGATCACCAACAGTAAAAAAAAACAAAACAAAACAAAAAAACAAGTCATTCTCCAAAGCTCCTTTCTGAGACACACAGCAGTTATGAAGAGTGAATAATTCATTGAGTCGGCAGCTTCTTTGATGCACTTTACATCGTTTATTTCTCTATATCAATAAGTTTAAATGTTTCTTAGATGACAGTTTTTTAAAACTCCATTTCCTATCCAAATTCAATGTTTTGCCAAGGAATTGTTTTCAACTTAAAATTTTTTAAATTTTGTCTTTTTTCCCCCTTGCCTTTGAGCCAGTCTTCATCAGTATGCATGAATATTCACATCTACACATTTCTTCATGAATAGTAAGCAGAAATATAAGAATGTTCATTAGGCCATAATGGAAACTGACAAGTATAAATTTTATTGTCTTGGTCTTCGTGAAGGAATGATCAGGAGTCTTCAAGAAAATTCATGGAGAGTACATATTATAAGTTTTACGTGGATTTCAGCGTTTTCCTGACAAAATATATTTACTTATTAATTCTGTGTTAAAATGTTTATGTTTTATTTATTTTAAGCTATTTTATATTTTAAACACTTGAAAGGTAAAGTGACAGAGAGGCAAAAAAAAAAAAAAGGTAGAGCATTTTTTTTTCCCCCTTAAAGATCTACCTGAGTCATGGAAAAAAGCTTAGGAAAGCAAAATTCCATGAAATAAAGTTTAAAGAAACATAGGCAATTTTCTTGGTATCTACAATGGATGAATTTAAAAATATTTTCAGTTTTCTTTTTTTTACAACAAGTTTGTTACATTAAAAAAAAAAAACCCTCCTGTTTCTTGGTTGCAAGGACTTTCTGATAGCGTGTAATCTTCCCAATGCTGTGAATGCCAGTAAAGACATTACTTGGAAAAAAAAAAAATAAACTCTGATACTTGGGTTTGAAATTGGAAATAGCATAAAATGTTACCACGGGATGATGTGGTGTTGATCATCCCTGAAAAAAATGCCTGTTATTATGAAATGATTACTGTAGAAGGCATCATTTGAAAAGTTGGCTCTTGACTTCTCAGCTGTACGATTTTAGACATGTATTTTATGGTGATTTAAGGAAGAAGAAAATGTGTGTGTGTATATTGTAGGTCCACTTTTTCAAAACTGCTTAGGGAAATTGTACCATTTACATTTGAAAGGCGTAGGGAAAATGTACAAAATTGTTCTGCCACCCACCAGGCCACTAAAATACGGATGACTACAAATGTGGATAAACATAAAAAGAATAGATAGATGGATAGATAGACAGACAGACATCACTTCCCATGATAAATGCTCTGATTACACATTTTTTATGGTACAATTTTAAAACCAGCATTTGAAAATTGGACCTTGTTGGTCTCCTTAGGCCTTGGAATCTAGGGTCTGCGACATGTGTGCTCTGGCCGTGTGAACGGTTGAGGTGTGCTGCCCATTGAATCAATGCATACACCCAACGTGTGCTCTCTCCACGCAGGGATTTGAGACGGCTTGGCGTGACTCTTGCCGGTCACCAGAAGAAGATCATGAACAGCCTTCAAGAAATGGAGGTGCAGCTGGTAACCGGGATGGTGCCATTGTAACGTCACGCTCATGTCACTTCTGAAAGCGAATAAGTCTGCACTTTGTAAACCACCCCGAGATTTAACACATAAAAAATGGGGAAAAGGGAAAACGGTGATTCTCGAACATTCAGAGTTTTTCTCAGCCACGATATTTGTAATCAGTGTTTTAATACGCTCTCGGGATCTTCCTCTTGGTTTCTTCATTCTTCATGAAGCAACTAAAACCTGAGTAGAGTCAGAACGTGAGCTTAAACATTATGGTATAGCAGGAAAGTCCTTCCCATTTTGTACATGAAATGTCTGACTATATAGCACCTTTATAGACTGAATCAAGGCCGTCCCTTTCAAAACGTCCAGGGGTGTACTTGAAAGGAAAAAAGAAAAATTTCACAGCCTCTCGTGGGCTGAACAAGCTGCAGTTCACTGAAGTTTACTTAAAGTCCTAACTGTCTACATAAGTGTATTGAAGAGCAATATGATTCTTTAATAGATATCTTCTTTTGTAATTTAAAAATGCTGTTACACAGCGCTAAGTTATAGAAATCAGTGTATAAACATGTCACTTGATGGAGCAAGGAAAAGTACAATACAGGGTGTGTATTTATTTTTCTGTGTTATCAGATTTCTGTTTAGTTGCTCTTCTGGAGATTACTGGCTGTCCATGTGTATATACTGTCCAATTTGCAATATATACAGGAATTGAATTCAGTTGGAGTTGTATGTGTGTGTATGCTTGCACTTACGTGCGCTACTATTCTGCTTGCCTTTTAAGTAGTGTTTTAAGTTTAGACACATATAGGAACAAGTGTACAAATCTGTAATATGAATAGGAGAAATAGGGAAGCAGTGAAGGAAGAGTGAGCACAAGCTTGTGTCTTTTTCCTCTCATCCGTCCAACAACTGCTCATTTCTGTGTTCACGAACAGGAGATCTCTGCAAGAGAAACCCACCTTTGGCTTTTTCAACAGGTTATGATATCTGTGACAATGCAGTTCTTGTAGCCATTCATCTTACACCCCTGTAAGAAATTTCACCTTTCTGAATCCAGAAAAGAGCTTGTCAGGCCAAGTTGACACTGCAGGGCACCCCGTCAGTGGGATGTAGAAGGGTTTAATTGTGCAGCTGTTGCTAATGTTGTTAAACCGAGGCACATAGCAGGAAGCGTCATCCTCAAGTGCCAATCCTTTGTCTCCATTCCCATTATGGCTCCGTGCAAGAAATGTTGATGTTAGGGCAGTAGTGGGATAGTGTTACCATCCAGAATGTTCTATTTCATGTTTTGACAGGTCTCGTTTGTTGATGATGTTCGTGGAGCGATTCTGTTTTGTGTTCGGCGACACAGCATCGTTCTGATGAACCCCATTCTGAAGTTGTATTTGATTTGAATTTTTTAAGAATACAATGTACGTCCTATTTGTTCTCTATGTATGATAGCAGGTGAACATATTTTTCACACAAATTAAAGTTTATTGAAAATTGTACAAAGCCCTGTTGATAATCAACATTGTTTTGTAGTGTGCTTTGTGAACATCATGGAATGCTGTCTGGGTAAAGAAGCAGTGTTTAATTAAACGGCAGCCTCTTCATCAGAGCAGTGTGAATTAATGAAATGCTTAGGAAATGCACTTGTATGTTATTAACTGTGCCCTCTTCCAAGTACCTGTTTTAATTGAAAGTTAGCACACCCATGAATTAACTTTTGGAGAAATAACTTATTTCCATCCTGTCCGCTCTTTACTTAAATAGTAATTTTTTTTTTTTTTTGCTAAAGAACAAGGAAAAATCAAAATGACAATGACAAAAAGGAAAAAAAAAAAAACCTCAGCTTTCAAATGATTGGTAACAGAGCTGAGAAATACCGTAGTTCCCCACGAACTATGCTCTGAGGCTGTAGCGAAGCTTCCAGAAAAAGCTGACAGAGGTGTCTTGATAAAAATCCTAAGTCAATAGGTATCACCATTACTAACAGATTCATTCGGTCAGTTACCAGAAAATCTAGAAAACTGACTCTTTCTACAAAATCTTGGAGGTTTCATTGCGTGTTACTGGATTTTTAAAAATTTCTGAATTTTCGTGCTATACCATAGAAGCACTTGAAAGACAAAATAGGGATTGAGAAGGAAAACCTTTCTAAATTCCAGTGGGCAAACTACAATTACTTAGACACAACAAAACTTACTAATCAGTTTTACAGCATTCCCTGTTCAGAGATAATTAGGACGGGGAGAATTTGACTGAGTATAGCTGGAAGTTGCAAGGTAGATTTCCTCCTTCCTACAGAGGAAGAAAATAAATGAATTTTTATCAAATATATTTGCTTGTTTTGAAATTCAAATGGCTGCTTTGGGAAATAATTTGAAATTATAGTTCCATATGCACACAGCTTTTAATGAAATCCCCAGTTGTACGAGAATTTGTAAATATGACAAAATGATTTCCACAGGAGGCAAGGCTTTTGACAAAATGTATTTTTCCTCCTCAAAGAGGAAAGAGGAAAGCTGTTCTAAAATATTTGTCCAACTCTGGAGATTTCACTCCCTGGAATGTGCCAGTCTCAACTGTACGAGAGCGAAATGGAACAAGTCGGAAAGCCAGCTCTGCGAACTGAGAGCATGACCTGACAAATTTCGATTGTGTGATTTCATATGCTGTTGGTTCATCTTGTCATGAGAACTACAAAAATTATAGTTTCTATCATTTTAGTACATGCAGTAGATTTGTCAAGTAATAGATCGTGTTAACTGTTAGTAGAGGCATTTTAGGGCTGGAGTCTTTGTCATTGTCAGACTTTGGAATCAAGGTCCAATCACAGCATCATGTTCAGCTGAGCAGCACCTGCTGAAGTCACTCGGTTACTGCTTTTATCAACCACAGTTTGGTTCCAATCGTGTCATTTCCTCACTTGTACTACATTTGGTCATTCACTGTTTCTGAAATGTGTCAATTAGATATAAGATTGCAAAGCTTTTAATTCTGTTTTAAAACTTTGAATGTGCATGGTCTTTTGTTGCTTACATTTTATTTACCACATCAGTGTTCGAAAAATGTTGAATGAATGCAAAATTTACACTCCAATATGTAATCAGAACTGTGGCCAGCACTGTTAATTTCAGATAACCCTACCCAATAGCAAACATCCTTGACTCAGTTTACAAAAGAGTTGTAAGTGGTGTGTGGTGGCAAAGACACAGTATCGGGTTGCAAGTTTAAAATGGAAAATGAGTATTAGCTCAGCACTTACGTATTGGTATGTTTGCTGTTTAATCTGAACATGAGAGTGTGAGATTGTTTGATGCCTCTCTTTCTCCCTTTTAAATTTGGTTCTTGGAAGCACAAGCAGAGATGTTTACCTATGGAAGGAGTTGTTTTTTTGGCTATGATGGGGCTTTGACTGGCAGACACAGTTTGAGTCAAGGGTTAAAAATTTTCCTGGATGTATCCTGTCATGTAATAGAGTAAGAATTTTCTCTCATTTGTTCTTTCTGAAAATTTGAAAATGAAAGTGAAATAGTACATGCTGTGATTATGTCCTAGCTGATGTTTAATTTCAAAGTAAATAAACTCTAGGTACAATATGATAATAATGATGCCAATGAAAACACAGAGTTCAATTGCTCACTTTATTTGAAATTTAACAGCCATCAGAAGTCATCACGTTTACAGCTCCGTAGTACAGCTGCTTAAATTGAACATTTCCTCTGTTTATTTGGTGTTCGTTACAAAAAAAATGTATAAAAAGAATCATCAAGAATTTTATTTTCATTTCAAAAAAGAAGAAGAAGAGCACTTGAGTAGCTGAATGTTGTTCAGAATGACCACACAGCTATTGCTTAGGGAGCACACCAAACACACCATTGTTCTTTGTTGTTCTAAAAAGTGTGTCTGTAATAGAGCTAAATGTTGTGTTTTTTCTCCTGAATGTGAATAGAAAGAATTAAAGATGGCAAAAATATGTCATGTTTGTTCAGGCTGGGATTATATTAAGGGAAGTTTCAGCGATCATCATATTTGTGAATCTTTAGACTGCTGTAGTTCTACTGTTAATTATTTATGAGTATGAATCAGATCTATAGTAGCCAGAGAATAATACCTAGACTCTGTCATTTGTTAATATGTTGATAAATATCTGTCTGTGTCAACCAGGTTGGACACAGCTTTAGAGCATACACTGCTATGTGGTAGGTGGCGGGCTACCTCCAGTCCCTGCCTGAGTTAATTCAAGGAAGGATTAGCATTTCTATATATTTTTTTTTCCATTTGAAGTTCTATGTGCTTTTGATTTATGTACCTGTTTTTGTAGTGTAAGATATGAAATTTTATATTTTTTCAAAAAATAAAAAAACCCTTTGAATACAGTTAAATCCGACTGTCATACTTAACCCTCTGCTAAGACTTGAAACTGACGGCTTTTGTGTAATGATCCCTGTTATATCTGACAACGCATTTGAATTTCCTGTGCTAGACAAGGAAAAGGCCTTCCCGTGATATCTTCATATTCATGAGGGTTAACACTCATATAAATGTTGCAAATAAAGATTGACACGGAAATTATAATACCTAAGTATTTCTGTGTCAATACCTAATGGGAAGCTGGTTTATGACAGTGTGAAATAATATTCTTTGAAGGTTATATTTTTCTGAGTAACATCAGCCAAAGACCTTCCTGTGGCCACTCACTGTTTATGGCGTGGGTTGAGGATTTGCCCTGTTGGGAAGGGGGTGCCATTGAGAACAGACCCTCCTTTGTTCGTGACTGCTGTATCAAATTTGTCTCTTTTTGTAAATAGAGCAAACACTGCTGGATCAAGTAAATCATTGGTTATTTTTGCATTTGCAACAAGACAGTGACTATATCCTGCCTGGGGGGGGGGGAAACCACAACACCTGTGTCTATATTAAAATGACTATTATAAGGATATTATTTAGTAACCATCCTGCTTAAATAAATCTGATTCTTTGTCACCAAAAAGGCTAATTTATGAAAGAAAAAGGAGAGAGATTTCTGTCCCATTGTCTACTCAAACTTGGCCAGGTAGAAAGATGACGTAGTAGAAAAAAATTTCTATTGTGCGGGAATGCAGCGTTTGTTATAGAATTCTTCATCTTCATCATTGAGTTACACACTGTCACTTCCATTTTCCTGAAGAGGAAACTGCTCAAACGTTCAGAAGTTACCCAAGTCCTGATTTATCTTCCAGGGTGGTATGATACATTGAAAATAAACCACCAAACTCGTTTTGACCATGCTGTTCAGACCGTGAAATCATTTGTGCCAACCATGTAGCTTAATTGCTGTCAAAGCTGACATGAGAAAAAATAAATTGCGCATTTTCACCCAGAATGTGGGAACCAGCAGCCAACCAACCACTCTGCTAATATGTTCAAGGCTGTACAGTATAACTCAGGGTTCTTTCAAGTTGAGGTTCGGGATTTTGTAACTACTTCAAAGTGGTACAAACCATGAATGGGAACCATGCAGGCTCAGGAAATTGCATTAAAAAATCTGACTTATTTCCAGCTATAATACTCAATTTTGCTTACAGAATTTTGAAGTCTGCAACATGAATCATTATCAAGTTGTCACCAAATCCAAAGTAAAATGTTTGCATTTGTAAAAACTCACAATAGCTATTTAAATCAGGAAAACCTATACAAAAAATACTGATGGTAATTGTACTTGGAATTAGAAAGTTAAACTAGAAAGCTAGACTGGATAAACACGATGGAAATGCTGAAATACAGAGTTTTTTTTTTTCCCTTGGTAAGTGTATTGTCACTTAAATAATTCTGTAACTTTTTTTTATTAAAGATTTATTTTTATTATTTTTTCATTGGAAAGGCAGATATACAGAGAGGAGAGACAGAGAGGAAGATCTTCCGTCCGATGATTCACTCCCCAAGTGAGCGCAACAGGCCGATGCTATGCCGATCCGAAGCCAGGAGCCTCTTCCGGGTCTCCCACGTGGGTGCAGGGTCCCAAAGCTTTGGGCCGTCCTCGACTGCTTTCCCAGGCCACAGGCAGGGAGCTGGAAGGGAAGCAGGGCTGCCGGGATTAGAACCGGCGCCCATATGGGATCCCGGGCGTGCAAGGCGAGGACCTTTAACCACTTGCGCCACCGTGCCGGGCCCAATTCTGTAACTTTTTAAAAGATTTATTTTTTATTGGAAAGTCAGATATACAGAGAGGAGAAGAGACAGAGAGGAAGATCTTCCATCCTCTGATTCACTTCCCAAGTGACCTCTATGGCTGGAGCTGTGCTGATCCGAAGCCAGGAGCCAGGAGCCTCTTCCGGGTCTCCTGTGCGGATGCAGGGTGTCAAGGTTTTGGGCCATCCTTGACTGCTTTCCCAGGCTACAAGCAGGGAGCTGGATGGGAAGTGGAGCTGCCTGGATTTGAACCAGTGCCCCTATGGGATCCTGGCACATGCAAGTCGAGGACTTTACCTGCTAAGATACCAT